CAGCAGTCTAATTCTACATGCATATCTAGTGTATGGCAGTCACGCTCACTCATGCCGGGCACTTGGTCGGAATGTGTTCGACGACTTGAGACTAGCTTGCTTGGATTACCTAGGTTTTGGGGGAATATCCGTATGGTTTGTTTATTATTTGATATAGATTCTGGAAAGCAAGCCTTAACCAGAGGTGCTGCCTCTGCACTACTCCACGGCTTGCGCAACCGTGGGGTTTGCTTCATCAATTAATAGCCACACGATCCAACATGGGTATGGGACTCATGATGCCTCTCGCTGATGGCCACTCGATCCCTTCATGTTGGCAAACGAGATTCTTCGTCGTCGCTTGTCTCATTGCTAAGAAAGCTTGGCTGAGCCATGTCTCGCTAGCCAAGCCGGCCACGCGCCTCCATCGGCGTCTCTGTGATAGAAAACAACCCAGAAGCTGTAGCCGCCCTCTCTGTTCATAAGCTATCGTGGCATGGGACATCTGTCCGACTCATTTCGGTCTTGTCTCCTTGATGGATTTTCAGCGTGACTTCCCTAAAATGACCAACGGCCCGGGCTACGTTGCATCCTTTTCTTCCATCTTCTGCCACTGCCACGGTTCTCCCACAGCCATGCTGCATGGATAGCCGCGACGCCATTTGGGTCGCGCCCAAAAGACCCGTAGCCACGACACCGGTACCTGGTCACACTTACCCATATGGGGCATGCCGTGGTACACAGGTACTACCCTATGGTCGATTGCCGGGGGGTCATACGGCGCCCTAGCTGCACGAAATTGTGACCGAGGCCTCGGACCCAGCGTTGCATCGAGAAGATTGCCGGCGGGCTTCCAATATCGCGGCCCGTTCATGACGAGAACTGTATTTCCACACCCAGTGTGCGGAACGGCGAGTCAAGCTTGCGCAAGTCGATGGCGCTCCCGAGGCTGAACAGCAAGGATTTGAACCTGCCCTCCCATAGGACCCCAATCTTCATGTTCTGGTCCAGCCGTGCCTTGATGACACTGCCGTATTCGTCCACCCCCGTCGCCTGCGGCGTGCCGGCATCTCCCGATTCCGTCCCATCCAGTGCAGGGTCGTCCAATCTCCATTCTAGCTTGGCCTGAAAGCTGCGCTCCTTCGGCTTTTCTTTCCGCTCCTTGACGACGGCGGGTGGGCTTGGCTGTACAGGTTTGGGCAGGGCCTCCGGCTCGTCCAGCCTCCACTCCAGCTTCGCCTGGAAGCTCCTCTCCTTTTTGACAAGATTCTCGGCCGAGAGCGCGGGCTCGATGTTGCGGGTCAGGTTCTTGCGCCACAGCTCCATACCCACGGACCAGTCGCTCTCGTAGCTGTACACATTGAAGTCCATGCGCGTCGCGAGGCTGCAGTGTTGGCCTGCTACGACAGCGTAGCTGGCACTGATGTTACCCATCAGGGGGTTTATCGTCACCGTCGCCGTCAAAGGCGTCCCTCGATGCTCCGGTAACGTGGCGAAGCGGCCCCCGAAGCTGATGCCGCCAGACTTGTTCAATGTGCCGTAGTAGATCTCTCCGCCGGCGCTGAAACGCCCGTAGATGCGCTCCTTTGTCTCGTCGCTGAGCCCGATCGGCTTCCCGTTCAGCCGGCCGGTCGACCGTGACTGAGACTGCTGGTTATTCTCCGCATCCCCGCCAAAGTTGTACACACCTCGGAATCCCAACAGCCCACCGTCTGACGACCCAAGACCCTCAATGGCGTACCTGCCGACATCGTATTGAGCCAGTCCCAGGAGCGTACCGCCGTTGCGCAGGAACTTGCCCGACACAGCGCTGAGCTGGAGCTGCAGCGCCGGAGAGATCCGCTTGACGACGAGCGCTTCGAGCATCGACTCCGGGAGATAGAGGCGGCCGTACAGCAGCGAGGCAGCAGCTGGGCTAAGCAGGGGATACGGTCTCTTATCGGGCCGGGGCGGAAGGTCGGCGAGCGGGCGGTAGGAGCGCAGCAGCGCCGGCAGCGGGATGGCATCGGATTGCGGGGTGAGGTGCGCGCGGAGAGGTACAGACGAGTACAAGTAGGAGATGGAGCCGTCGACGACGCCAACGGAGCCAAGCTGGTACGAAGTCGCGAAGTGAGGGGTCGCGAGGGAGGAGAGCGTGAGGCGGAGGCCTTGCGGCGTCGGGAAGTTGAGGAGTGCTGCCAGTGACGCGCGCGTCAGCCATCATTCATCTCGATAAAAGAAACATTGCCAATTGCGCCAACGTCAAGCGTACAATCTGCGGTTGCGTTGAGTGACGAGTACGAGTTGTCGCGGTTCCAGCCAGTCGCCTCATAGAACGCGTTCTGGACGTAGCTCATGAACTCGCGCATGGTGGGCGGATTGGTAGGGTTACGTTACTGAGCAACGTGCTCGTCATGTGCTATTGCGGCAGGGACATTTGGTTCGCAAGTGCGCAAGGCCCGTTCGACGTCGAAAGCTGCGATTGACAATGTGTCGTGATTATGGCAATCGACCATCCGAGGCGGGTCTGACTCTATTGTTTGATTATGTAAGCAAGTCGATCTCCAAGAAACTGTATATCAGCGACGTATCGATCACGATCTCAAGGTTGCACGAATTCTGGCTTGTATTATCTGTCTCTTCTGATTCTTTTGGTGGCATATATTATGTATCAAAATTTATTACAATAGCTATTACACTTGAGCAATCTTGCATCAGTGTTTGAGTCGAGTTTACACAAGATCTACATTTCATGGCAACAGGCAGAACGTTTCGATATTGCTGTCGAATGGTTCTCTAAGATTCAACTAGTACCTGTTCACATTTCTATGCATTACATTATAGCTTTTCCCCACGGGAACAGCTCTATACAGTTACTAGCCACAGCTGTCTCATGTTTACATAGAACGGCGTGCCGATAATGCTGTGAACAAGCCCAGATAACTAAACACCTTAAAACACATGACTGGCTCAATAAAACATCCATCTTTTGTAACAATAAAGTTTCAAGTGTTCAGTAATTCACATATATCGGCTTTCATAGCGATGCGCTTGCTAATAATGATGCAATCCGCGCTCAACAAGAAGACGGTATGAATTGTTGAGTATATCATTCCCTGATGTGACAAAGGCAAGGCGTATGTTTCCATATTCCAATCGATGCACCTTGTATTGATTGTATACACAGCAACAGGGCCGGGCAGTGATTCTGGCGGCCGGCCGATGCGTTCCATCCCAATCAGGACAGGGCCCAGTCGGTGATCTTACGGAAAATAAGTTTCGCATCTTCCTCGCTCGAGGACATCTCCGAGTAATAGCGCTGCAAGTCATCCTCGGTAGGCAAGGTGGCTCTGTAATATGACACATTCGTCTCGAAAAGCTGCCTGGACAGCTCCCCGTGGATCTCGGGGTGGTCTTGGAGAGACAAGACGAGCCCGGAGTCGGAGAGAAGAATTTCGTTGTCAGGTGCCAGTGACCTGAAGCCGACCGGAGCCTGCCGAACAAACCTCTTGTGGAACTTGGTGAGTTTCTTCGTGGCGAACTGTTAGCATCGGATGTAAAGTGATGTTCCAAACGGGTGTCTTTGACGTACTAATACGCCCTTCCCAAACATCGCTTTCCCGTCATCGTTCAGCGGTAGGTGTTGTACGCCAACCTATGAAAAGCATATAGTCAGCCTGGGCTGTCGAGAACAGCATCGATTGCATGTTACACACCCTTGGGTGCTCGAAACTTCCAATGCTTCCGGAAAGTTCGCTTGCGATGGCTTGATGACCCCAGCAAATACCGAGCAGCCTCGTTTTGGTGATGTGCTGCTGCGATACTACCTGCCGAATCCACTCCAGGGTCGTGTTGACCCATGGCTCGAACGTCGCCTGGCACAAGTTGCTCAGCCCGCCAGTTATAATGATGAGGTCGTAGCCCGCGGCGCTCGGCAGACGCCCGTCTTCCTTCATCGGCCTGTACACATCGATGGCTGCATCTGACACCTGCTGCAAGATGTTGTCGCGGAAAGACTGCAGCATGCCCCTGTGCTTTGGCTCGTCGATCTCATAAGCCTTCACGATGGCGACCCTCAAGGAGTTGCTTTGCGGAAGCGAACCCATTACTACAATCAACTGGAATTCTCTCCGACGTCTGATGACTACGCTGGTTTCTGCTGAGGATGAAATGTTGAACTTGGGCTATCAGCCTGGAAAGATGGGAAGGGGGGGGGGGATGATGGCTGATAGGGAAGATGGCCGGCTGTGGTCGCTTTCTTGACTCGTTGTACTCGGAGTTTCGGAGGGCCAACACTGACCTCCGTAACCACCCGGCAAGGTGCTCCGGCTAACATCGGACACCCACACCATCTCCGGCAATCGGTCACTTGAAGACAGCCACGAGACCCCCAAAACCGTATCATTGGTAATGGAAAGGCGTTGCTGCAACCGTTATCGAGAACATGCAAATTTGCCGCTGTTGATTGACGTTGCTGCAGAACTTGGATTGTGGCTTCCTCATCAGGAATGGCCTTTGCATGAGCCGAGCATCCCTGGCACTTAACAATGCATGCATGCGCCCTCTGACCTGTGCTTTCCAAAGCAGTATCTTATCTTTCGAACTGCAAGATCCCGCTCCCTCTTCGCGGTGAGTGGGTTAGTAGTAATAAACCGTCGGCTGAGTCGAATAGTCTCGCCTCGCCGACCGCCGGATCGCAGGCCACGGCTCCGATTGCCTAATTTGGAAATTCTAGACCGGGCCCAGCCACTCTTATCAAAGGTTCGAGCTCCCCAACGTAGAATCCGTGCCAGACTGTTGTTGGCATTGCTATCAAGATTTCGCCCTTATTTTACCAGTCCATGTCTGCTTGGACGGTTGTTTCAAAATTTCTCCCCCAATCCGCGTGGGCAGCCTCTCTGACGCTTTCGCGCTGCTCCTCCCGGACTCGGTTTTTGTTGATCCACATCTCCGCACCAAAGTACTGCTAGTGGATCCGTGAGAGGGGCCTTGGCTGCCCTACACAGGACGATAATTCACAATATCCACTTTATTCACCAGTCGTCTCTGTGGCTCAGTTGGAAGAGCGTTGGTCTCATAGGAACTCTCTATGACTCTGTCTAAAGACATGGATATCCAAAGGTCGCAAGTTCGAGCCTTGCCAGGGACAGTATATTATTTTGCATTACTTTTTACTAATAGTCCATCGTTGATTTCTGTGTTGATGGTAGAATTATTATCCATCGAGCCGGATGTGAAGACCATCCATCCATAGCATGGCTCATACATGAATGCAATCCACGTCCCTGGTGTGTGCAGTGCTAGCAGGATGCAGATAAGACATCTATCCGCCGGAGTTGATGAGAAGTCGGTCTCTGGTCTACGATGCCGACTCTTTCCCTATTGAGGGACTCTGCTCTGCTATGGTTCTCGCGCCAGGTTTCAAAGGATACTGAAGCTGATGCTGCTATGCTTCCATCTCGACTTTGCGGGGTTCCAAAGTCTCTTCACGAGCACGACCGAGTGTTCACGGAAGACCACATTGCAATCGACGATATGGTTTCCCGCATCGAGGGCATAGCCGGCCGACGACATCTCGTTCAGCCATTCGATCATGACCAGAAACCCATGTGTATCCCAGAGGCCGTCGCGCCTAGGGTACTCCTTGAACAGTCGAATGACCTCGTCCTTCACCTCACTAGCCGGGCACATGAGGAACGCGGACCCGAGGGGCCACGTCGGGCTGTCTTCTAGCGTGAAGACCTCGCCGTTCGGCACGAGTAGCTGCCGGGTGGCCTGCGCCGAGAGAAGGTCCCGGCTGAGCCCGACGATATCGAAGAAGACGGGCGTGATCCGCCCCATGTCCTCCGCGTCCGTCCACCCCGCAGTACGTATTGAAGCCCACATGTGCAGGTAGTGGATCCTCAAGCTGAGCGCCTTGAGATAGTCCGCTGCGTTGGTCGCTTTCCCGGACTCGGCTCGGATGGCGAGCGGTCGAAAAGAGCGGCCCCAGGCGTCGAGGAAATGGGCGAAGCTCCGGATGCGTTTCTGGGACGCTGGCGACGTGTAATCGGGCGGCACCTGTTTGGCCTCCCCGAAACATACTCCCTCAACCCGAAACCCCGTTTTCAGTGGCGCATGGTGCTCGAGGTGGTGTCTGACGATGTTCCACCACCGACGAGCCGTTTCCAGGCTCTCAAAGACCGAGGGCATCTCTTGGACGGCGTATCTCGCTTTCCGGCCCCGGCAGCACCACGGCACCCGAACATCGGTCTCCTTCGGATGTGTGCCGCTGTGGCTCCAGGATTGGAGGCCAAAGTGCTGGAAACTGGCCATGACTTCATCCATAAAGGGGTTCGGATCGACGCCGTGGGGACTGTGCTGATCAAGAATGAGGGAGCCGTGGTTGATGTGGCTCAGCCCTGCAACCTTGTTTCCTCGGAGACTTTCAAAGGTGATGAACAGGAGACATGCCAGCAGTGCTCTCTCAGATGACATGGTCGACGAACGCAACAGATTCATGGCCTTTCCATAGTGCATAAGAGCGTCCAAGTTGAACCTTCCTTTCCCCAGCATGCGTTCCCTTCGCGTGGTCCCGCTGAGAGCCAATGCACCAATCGCCAGGGCAGCATGTTTGATTGCAGGGTCTTGCCAGGAAATCTGTGGGATAACCTTCGTAAGGAGCTCAGAACGGAAAAGCAGTGTGGACCCGGTAAAGGCGAGCCAGTAGTCGAAGTGGTCCTTCTCCAGCTGGTTGGAAAACATGCGAGACGTGTAATCCGGTTCCACCAGGAAGACGTACCCGGATTTCTTGCATTCAAGCCTTGGATAGATTGCTCGGCGTTGAGATGAAAACCCAGGGTCTCGAGGCCTCTTACTCTCGTACCCCTCGCACCGGCCTTGATACTTGAGACACACTGAGCACGCCGGCTTGCCTTCGTCGCACTTGACTCGGCGTCGCCTATCAACGAGATTTTAGCTCCGGTTTCAGATGGGAAATGATACCGCATCGTAATATCGTACCTGCAGGCGATACAGCCGGTGCGGACTTTGGGTTTGCTGGCCCTGATAAAACGTGGCCTCTGGGCAAGGGCAAACTTGGCGACAAGGGGGGCACGGCTCGTCATAGTCAGCAAATGTTCTCTTGAGTCTAGTTGATGAGATTTTCTTTTTGGCTTCAGACACCAGAGCTTATACTATATCGCCTGCTGGGGATGTGTTGTTGGAGTAAAGACGGCCAGGAAACAGTGTCGAATACGAGCTTCGGTTAGAGAACTTGATAATACATGATGGGTACAAACCTCGGTAAGCATTTAGGCAGCAAGCAACATTCTGTGTAAGCACTATGCCAATTCGGGGCTTGCAGCGGCAGCCAAGGTCATTCAACACGGCGTTGTTTATACACACCTCTTGAAACATTAATTCAGGAAATAGCAGTTATCGTATCATGTTTGGTAATAAGGAGATGTATTGTTCACAGTACGCCTTGTGTTGAGCACATCACTTTTGTACACTCGTCTTCAAATCGTGTACGCGCCCCCGGCAGTGCTTGTTTTTCTAATTGGATCATGATGTGCGCGGTAAGTCATCCGGCAACTTGTCGGCTCAAGTCCCACTGACGTCTTGCCCTCGATGGTCCCGACAGAGTCGCTACCTCACACCGGCAGCCGGGCGGCGTGTAGGCCCCCTCCAAGACAGCCGGCTGACGCTCGGCCGGGGGTCTTCGCCGGGGATCTTCGGCAGCTCGCCGCCATTCTACATCTGTCTCTCTGCCATTGAGCGCAACTCGACCATCTCTCGTCCGTGGCCCTCTCGATCACGATTTGTAATATCGAAGGACAAAAAATGTTTCAATTTCTTTCAATTTCTTTTTTTCCACGTTGTTGGAAAACACACTATACTCATTCATGAGTCTCTCCGCCGTCGACCTCGGGCGTCTTACCGCCCAGGTATCGGAACTCGCTGGTCCCCACTACGCCAATGGTGAACAGCCTATCCTGGTACGCCTCCCTCCGGAACCACCCCAGCCGGAATCTCAGATACGATATCTGGCCGCGGAGCTCGTCCGGGGACAGCAGCTCCGTGTTCTCGGGCAGGTAGTCCGGCGCGTTCGAGCCCCGGAGCAGGGCGCCCATGGCCGCCATGCCGTGGAACCCGTCCGGGGCCAGGCCCCTGACGTCCACGTCGAACGGCCGGCCCCCGCCCCCGGCTGGGGGGCGTCGGCGCGCGGCCGAGGCCAGCGCCCAGACGTTCGCGAGGGCCACGACGCCCAGCACCCCGACCAGCGCGTGCGTGACCTGCGGGTTCTGGACCAGCCGGCGCCGCCCGGCGTCGCTCACGGTCGCCTCCAGCGCCGGGAGCCCGTCGGCCGGGGGCGGCCTGCCCCCGGAGCTCTCGTTCAGCCTGTGGCGGTTTTCGACGTTGACGAGCTGGGCCGCGACGAGCCCGTAGTTGTGCTGCAGGCCCCGCAGGATCTCGTCGTCCCGCGCCGGGTCGCCCATTGCCTCCAGCGGGAGCCGTCCGAACGGCTCGACCAGCACCCTGAACTGGTCGTCCATCCCTCCGGCGAGGGGGTCGGCGATGGTCACGCTGGGGAAGGCGGAGGAGATGCCGCGGCCGGAGAACTCGTTGTCCACGTGCGGCACATCCAACGCGGGGCTCCACGGTTTCGTCGTTGACAAGTCGGGCCGGGGAGGCCTTTCCGGGTCCAGTATGTAGCTCCCCTGGTTGGCTGTGAGACGGACCTCCGTCGCCGCCTCGACCCATGTGTAGTTGCAGCTCCACATCGAAAAGTGCTCAAAGCCGTTCTTCCCCTTCGAGTACTCCCCCCAAGCGTAGGTCTGGAACCTCCACGACGCGGACTCGTAACATCTTCAAGCACTCCATCTTGGAGAAGTAGCCGTCGACGACGACCGTCAGCGGCGCGCCGGCGGAACCCCGAGCGGTGCCGTTGCCGAGCCTGAAGGTCTGGTACGACAGGTCTCTGGTGACGCCGAAGGGGAAACGCATGTCGAAGTTGTCCAGGGCTTTCGCCATGTAATACGCGCTGCCGTCGGTGTACCGCTGCGGCGGGGCGGTCGTGTTGAACGAGTCGAGGAGCTGGACCTGGACCGGCTCCGTGATCCTGACGGTGGCCAAGCTGTAGAGAGACGGCGCGAGGACGATCTGGATCTTGAGGACCAGAGCCGCGACGGAGGCCAGGAAGACGAAGTAGTGCCCCCTTTTCAATGACTGGAAAAGGACCACGGGCGACATCATGGCAGTGTAATCGAGATCGTACACGTCTGCATCCTCGCCGAGTTTTCGTGCGCGGTATTCAGCGATCCAGGGCATGTATCGGGTCACCTGGAACTCGACTCTGGCCCACAAGGACAGCAAGATGGTCAAAACTGGGGGGGAGACACGCATCCGCTGTTAGAGCGTTCTTTTTCTCACCCTCTCGGACGGGGAACGGTAGACTTACTTGCTGTTGGGCCAAAGCGCCACAAGTAGACCAGGCTCTGCCGGGTCTGGAAGAGTCCGTCATGTTTCTGAGAGTACCACAGCATCACGGGAAGGACGGCGGCGAGCAAAACCAACAGAGCGAGAAAGGCCAATAGGACGATGGGTCGGAGCCAGGTCGGACGCCACCTCGCGGTTTCCGACCGAATGCTGCTCTTCTCGGTGCGGAGCGCCGAGTCGCTCAAGAGTCTGCGGTGGCTGTCCGGGGTGGGACGAACGTCCATCGGGGTTTCGGCAGCGTCCGCATAGCTCTCCTCGTCCGCTCCGTAAAGCGGGCTTGGTGCTTGACCGTATGCCCCCGTGAAGTAGTCGTCTGTCCCCGTCTCCAGTCCTCGTGGGGCCGTGCTGCTGTGCGGCGCCATTTCGGTGATGGTGGTGGTCGGGGCCCGTTCTGGCTTCCCCAAAGGCTTATCCACATCAGTCAGTCGCTTCAGGGCTTCGTCGTTCGAACGATGACGCCAGGAACCTCAGGTCGCAAGTCTGGGCATCGTCGGTCATTCGGTTGGAAATTGCCAAAGAGGTGTATGCTTGGGAAAACTAAACTCGTGTTAACCGCTTGGGCGAGTGAGCTCTATAAAGCGGGTTCCTTGCACGTCGTTCGTGAAAGGCAAGTCTACACGGGAACGGTTTTCCCCCTCCATTGGGCGAAGAGAATAATAATAATTGCCG